ATGAAATGTACGGAAACCAACGGTACTGATTCAAATGAATGAATGAATACCTCTACACCGTTTCTCGCCATCCCTGCTATAATAATAGAAAGGGATTCAAGGGGAGCATTGTCCACATTGTTGTTAATCCAGGTGGCTAAACAGTTCCACGCAGACATTTCACCAAAGCGCAATCTGAACTTCACCAAATATGTAGAAAACTAGACAGACAAAATCTAAAGCGAGCACCAATCACCCATACGTTTCCATAAACTGTGCAAGTCACCAAATCCATCTGGTTCTCGTCGCTGCGGATAATAGGGTGGCAGCGCGGCTGCGTTCTGCGCGGCGCTCTGTTGCCGCTCACCCTCTTCAGCGACTGGTGGAGAACGAGCTGGCGATGTGGCAAGCGCAACCGCACTGACACGCCCCATCATCCGCAGCGAACTACGGGACGAAACTAACATTCCCAGAAAAAACCGAACAAAATCATAAAACTGTACCTGCTAAATGAGTTGACCAGGGATGAAACATCTGACCAGTTCTGCAAATTGTTGACATCGACTAAAAGATCTTTAACGAGACGTCGCTGTACCCTTGCATCAAAATAGTTAAGTTTAGCACATGACGCTGCCAGAGACACCAATTGGCGTACAGAAAGAGCGGCCCTGTGGCTGAAATATGACTCCATCACTCTAAGCAAACTGGTCTGGAAGGATTTGCTCACCAAGACCCATGGCATACAAAGCTGTCAAGAAGTCCGATAAGGCAGCGCGATGTCGCGCATCTACGCGCAACCGTTGCTATAACGTTCCGTTCCAATGTTACTAAAGGAAACGCAGCCGCAGACGGCTGTCGATCAACGCAGGTCGCTGATGTTCCCAAAGAGTATGGGAGAATAGGAGCGTACGCGTTGTCTAGTCACACAGATTGATTTTTCTTATTCCCTTATATTCTCTCGAAACAAGCGAACGGCGCCGACCGATTCCGTCTTCGGCTGCGTTTCCTTTAATAACATTGGAGCGCCACCTCAATAGTAGCGTCGCAGCGCGTCGACGCGCGTCATCGCAAGGTCTGAACACTGGCTAAGATTCACGATACAGTTTCCAAAGGTAGCTGTACAGAAATAAGCTAGAAAAAGAACGGAACTCACTCTGTAATCCTAGCCGAAAGCAGAGGAAGAAGTTTCTTATCGCGAATACCTCTATCGGCTAATCTGCTCATAAGTGAGCACATCTCTCCGATGGTGAGCACACAACAAGATAGATCAGTACCAAGCAGTTGAGCTGTCTTGTCGGCGGCCGCCTGCGATACTTCCCTATCATTCGGATCCCAATGTGTGAGCACGGCAATTAGCACGTTTGCACTGTCGATATCCCTTAAAAAATATTTCATAGGAGTCACTTTTCTTGAAAAGAAAGCATCTACCTTATCTGCGACGTTAAACCTTCCTTCACTGCTGCTTTGAGCTCTTTCGGCCAAGAATAACCAACACGATTACTTGCGATAATCAGCGGAATAATTGCCGTGATTGAGAACTCCGCTTCAGCTGAAGTGAACGGAAGAATATTTGACGCAGTTCGGCCACAGGGGGGGGGGGGCATTTGGGCACTTTCGCTATTGCCCATCGACGTGTCGAGCCACCAAGCGGAAATCTGTGAAACTGTGTGAAGATAGGAACAGATATCAGCCAAAGTTTGTAGAGACCACCTGTCAACATTTGTAAAGCAATGAAATACCATACAAATGCAGTTTACCATGGTGGCTCACGAGCGTGCTCCAGCTCCACGAAAGTTCACAAGCTTTCACCGGAGTGAGAGTTGTAAATCGGAATAAGTGAAGCAGCCAATGTGCAAAATGCCCCTTCTCCCCGTCGCCAGACTGCGCCGAATGTTTTCGAATGTCAAAATGAGCTCAAACGCTTACTGATGTTATTCAGTAGCCTTTTCTCCATATCACAAAACAGTTTCTCATCCTTGAGGCCGAGCTCCAGCAAGCCAGCCATTACCGCTATAAAATCATCGTTGATAACCATGCCGGAAATGTCGGTTTCGCTGAGATTGTCTCCGCAACTGAACAAAAAAGGAAGATAGCTATTATTAATGCACGATCAAATGACTATTACCTTTTCATGAAAGCAGGGGCAACTTTCCTGTCCTTGTCCAAAAACAGGCTGACTTGAGCACGTTCAAGTAATCGGATGGCGATAGAGGTTCTTTGTACTTTTCTACCCTCTATAAGTTAGTCTAAGAGTTTGAATAAACTATAGCTCAAAAGTGGACTTACTTTCTTCAACTCATTAAAATTGGAAACATTCGCAAAAGGAGAAGTTCCACGATCAGGTGCTGGCGAAATCTCATTTTCAGAAGACAGAGAATCGATGAGACCTTGAATGTAGTCCCATTAGCTGAGAAGCGACTACAGGTTTGAAAAAAAAACGAAGCATGAGCTAGCATGGGGAGAGAAGAGGGTTTATTTCGGCTGGGGGGGGGTGGCATTTTGCACATTCGCCACTACCCATCGACGTGTTAAACCATCAAGTGGAAACCTGTGACATCTTGTAAACGAAGTGATACTAGTCAAAGTTTGTAGAAACTATTTATCAAGTCTTGTGAAGAATACCTGTTTCCTCTTATCAACGAATACGACAATGGGACGTAGCAAAGTGCATAGTGCCTCCCCCCGCAAGCCAAAATGCACCCAAGGTTGGACATCACACTGAGTCTTTTTTTTCTGGTTTTTCATGTAATGCAATTCAAAAAGCAACGAATGTATGTATACCTTTCAAGGGATCGTCCTCTGCAACGGCAGCAACATTAGTAGCGAATGTCCTTGTCGCTGTAACCCGCAAAGCGGTCTGTGAAATAGCAACGCCACTGCGAAGCACGCGCCGAAGCATGCCTCAGAGTAGCAAATAACGCAGTCTCTTAATAAGAAAACGCCAGTTGGATATTTTGGAAGCAGAAGGTGGGTATCAAATAAGAGGTTGGTAACTTGCCATCAAATTTTAAATAACCCAAATAAAGATGAACATTTATTCTGAAATAACTTGGAAACAACCATTATCTGAGCCTAACAGAACACTGCTCAACGATTTTCAGCGAATCTAATTCTCACTAACATTGCGAACAACAAACGACCTGCGATAACAAGGCGATACAAACAAACAATGAAAACAATTGAAGAATTTGGCGCAATTTGGCTTTGTGGGGTATTTTGCTGGTTCTCAACAATCATTACCAATACTTCCTGTTAGACCTGTAAACACCAGTAAAGCTACGCAGTAGCGGGAACTACTTTTACACTTGGCAAGACTTTACAAGTCTGGCTAAGGTGTGATCTCTAATTAAACAGACTAGCAAAGGGAAGTAGCAAACGAGCGAAATGCCCCTTCCAAGCCAAACGGCGCCGATGGTTTCACAGTCTACCGAAAAAGAAATGCGCCGCTCTCGAGTTGATCAACTACGGCAGCACAAATGCACTCATGAACACCTTTGCAGGTATCTTTAGCTGAGGCCATCAAAGCTGGTAGATGGTCGATGTGGACACGATTCTGCAACTCTACCAAAACCACTTCATCTTCACCTCTCAGAGTGGCGAGCTGGAAGAGAATCTGCTGTTATACGGAAAAAAAATTGAAATACTTTCTTGCTCGTTGCGGATGAAGGGGCGTACCAGGCGGGATGAGTTTGTCGCGGCGCCACACCTGTTCCCAATACTTGTTGGAGCGGATAAGCGACAACGCTTGGTGGAAAACTACTGGTAAGAGCGATTTGATGCATTTTTGCTGCTTGCTCGTTTCAAGAAAGGTTGAAAAGCGGGTCTAATGCCGCGCTTAACCCCAGACAGACATGTCCTTTCATCCCGAACGAACGAGACTGCATCATGTGATGTGACTTACAGTAAGCCGAGGGAGGAGATCTGTCTCTTCTCTCTGATTGACGTCAACGACAGGCTGTCCATCCACGATACTACATGTGGCTGCCGCGACAACCCCTTTCATTGGGATACCAGCGTCCGACATCGCCAAAGAGGCGGCATTGACGCTAGCAGCTAGATGAGAACCATCACTCTAAAACAGAACCAACTTACTAGATACTGTGAACATTTCTGCAGAAACACCGGAATATTTTTTTAAATATTTTTAGTTTGCTTTGGTAATATTTTCTGGTCCTTCTTCA